GAAAACATAGTTTGTTCACATCAGTATATAACAAAAGTAAAAGACGTGACTCCAAAATGCTCCGTCTTCTCCAAAAGTTGGCAAGAGTACCTGTCTATTGTTGCACTGAGAATACAAGCAGTTTTAAAATATCAGCATAAAGCTGGTGAGTTCATAAGCGTTTAGTTCTAGTGAAAGAAATGTTTCTTTGATCCTTTGAAAAGTGTTTCCCAAGAAAATCCTATATTTTCTTATGAAAGATGTTTGATTATCCGTTAGTTGCATGTTAAACAGCCTGTTTATGTAAGGTTGAGTTATCCCAGGAAAATCCTATATTTTCCTTAAAAGTTGATAGTTGGTTATCTGTTCTTGTCTGAGGTGTACAAGTATCTACCATACTTGTATCGTTAGATGTAGTTTCCTTGAAAAACCCTGTTTGTTCCCTGTGAGGTGTATTAGCCTTATTACATAAATAAAACTAATAAATATGTGGTGAACTAAATCCTAAGGGTATTATTAATACCCTCTAGTAATCAAATCGGTTATTACTTTGAGGTTAGTTCACTTGTTTCATTATTACAAAAATAAATTATGTTATCAAGGTTGCGAGTGTCATAACCGTACTTAGACTTGATATGGCACGAAACGGGGCCAGTATCTTTTTATGACTTTGTCACCCGTAGACCTGACGGTCCCACTGTAGCTAGCAGCGAGGTGCGGGATAGTCAGTCCCGTATAGATCTATACACAACAGTCACGCTCTCCCTACAAGAGATTCTGGTTACAAGTGTTAGTCCTACACTCTCGAATTCGGTGGGAGTGTTACCAAGGACGTGTCTCCAACTTTAGACTAACAATTTGCATGTAATAATACCGAAAATCATGTTTATGTTTTGTATGAATCCTTTATAAAATATCACATCTTATGATAAGATTCACAAGTTCATTGCTTTAGTTTTGAAAACTGTTTCTACGAGCTGATTTCTTAATCTTTTGGTAAAACTGTTTTCTGTGTTAAAAGCATACTGAACATATAATTATTTTAAACAAAATAATATACTTTGAGCACAAGTTTCCTTGTACTTTTGCTTGTATTCCCCCCTGAAAACATGAAAAACTCGGAAAAAGCATAGGGGTAGAACTCACTGTTTGACGTGGGATTCGAGTGTAAGTTGCTAGGAATTGTTGAGTGTCAAACAAAGCCTCGGGCACAAACGGAGCCTATTTAGCATGTAAAAGTACATATATGCATTAGGTGAGGGCTTAACACTATTTGTTATGGAAGGAAATCATCCTAGGGACCAGGAAACACTTGAAACTAAGTGTTAGAATCGCATGTGATTTGAAAATGGGGAGTTTGCGGTCGCAAAAGGAGTGTACGGTCAAGGGTTTGCGGTCCAATAGGGTTTATGGCCCATATGTTTACGGCCCAAGGGTTTGCGGTCCATGGGTTTACGGCCCATGGGTTTACGGCCGTAAACACTTGGCGAAAAGTGCGATTTTCGGTGTTTCAAGGTCCTTTCTAGCCTTCTGGAAGTGTTCTAAGCCTCGTGCCCAGCTCAAGGAAGAGTTTAAAGGTCAATAATCGACCAAAAATGGAGTTTACGGCCATTGAAGGGTGTACGGGCCGTAAACAACCAGTTCATGCATTTCAGGTCGATTTTTAGGCGAAAATCGATGGTTTCTAGTAGATAACAAGTACAGATGGTAGTTACTTACTGTTAAGAAGCTTGGAATGAGGTTTTTAACCACCAAGAACTAGTGTGTGTTCTTGGTGTTCTTGGTGAGAGAGAAAATCTAGAAAATGATGAAATTTAGGAGATGAGACATGGATTCATCACTAGAATAAGGATAGAAACACAATCAAAGTGAAGAATCACTTACATTCTTGAGGATCCTTGAGCAAATTCGAAGTTTGTATAGTGAGAGAGAGAGAGAGAGATCTTCTGGAGTGTGTAAAGTGAGAAATGAAGGCCACTCATCCCTTATATAGGGGTGAGTTTACGTCCACGGGGTGGGGTGGAGGGTTTACAGCCGTGAACAGGGTTTACGGTCGTAAACAGGGTTTACGGACGTAAACTGAGTTTGCGGCCGTAAACTCCTCTCGAAGGGTTGTTTGGCACGGATGCTATGCTTTGACTTAGAAAACCTCATTTTTGAATCCAAAACTCGATTGAACTGAGCTTAGAATATTCCGTTAGACCAAAAATAATACTAACGTGAACGGAAATAAATCTGAATTGATTTATTAAAAACGTGAAGTCCTTCCCAAACTAGGAAATTTGACGGAATTAAATAAAACCCAAATTTTATTAACGGAAACTAGGTAAGGATAACGGTAAAAGTTTCGGGTTGTCACAAAAACCGAGTGAAATGAAGAACCTAAAACCCAATCACAAACTTTTGATTCGAAAGTATCAATTAAGTCGACATCATTAGGAAAAGGAGCATAAACATAAGTTTTCGAACGTATAGGATTGTCACTGACATTCGCCTTTTTCTTCTCAGTTTGTTTCTGAACATGTCTATCTTTCGAAACTGATGTCCATGTTTTCACAGAAATATTTGATTCTTTTGAAGATGAACTTTCGTTTGAAGAATCATTCACATATTTCTCATAAGCTTCTCGAATTTGTTATTGAGAAAAATTTCGAGATTGATACATCTTTCCTTTCCCTTCAAGCCAATGGTCGATATTCTTCACATTTGATGAACCCTTAGTGTATGAAACTTTCAAATTATGCTTCCCGGAAGGATTTGGAAAATTTGGTTTTTGTAGAGTGAAATCAACATTTTATTTAGGACAAAATTTTTCAAATTGTCGATTTTTAACATTGTTTTCGACATTTGTGTTTCGAGAAAATCGATTTTGAAAATTCTTTGATTGAGTTGGTGTAGGAGTGTGTTTTAAATTTTGATTTTGAGAATATCTTTGTTGTGAATGATGAAAAAATCGATTTGAGAAATTTTGATTTTGAAATTTCTGTGATGAATGATTAAATTTTTTCGAAAATGATGTAGTGGCTTGAGTTTTATCTTTCGAAAATGTAGTTTGTGAAATGGATTCAGACAATGATTTATTAAATTGAGTGAGATTTTTATGATTGCCTAAATGTGGCGAAGACTTAGTCTTAACAGATTTGAACTCTGTCTTTTCAGATGTTTTCTTTGTCAATCACTAGACATATGATTTGCACCATGACAAGAATGACAATCAATTCCGGAGTCTCCTTTCAGCTTTTTCTCAACTTTCTGCTCTTCCTCTTTAACATCACTTTTCTCACTTTTCTTTTTCTCTTCTCCTCCTGCTTTTGCCACAAATTTTCCTTTTCCCTCACCAATTTTCGACTTTGAATTAAAAGGTTTCTTGAAAAACTTATTTACCCTATTATTCGAGTAAAATGCAACAGCTTCATCGTCCGAATTAACCAAAAATCCTTCACTATCAGAATCTTCTTTTTCGACTGACTCTTTCTCATTAACCTTCGACATCAAAGCTAATGGTCCTCCAAGACTCATTTTCGATTCCTCAGCAATTTCACTTACTTCTCCTTCACGAGTTTTTAGCAGATTGTACAAGTCATTAAGTGTCGAAGTATCAAAACTCTACTGAGTTTTCACCATCAATGTCACATTCCTCCATTCTTTGCGTAAGCCCATGATGAATGTAAGATTGAACTCCATGGTTGTTCGAGTAATTCCATGGCGATTACAATTGTAGATTAATTCGTTCAAACGATCATAGTAATCTTCTATCGATTCACCATCCTTCTGTTTGAATTCTTTCAATTTAATCAAACAATGTTTAACAGAATTAATCTTAGTCTTTTCACTTCCTTGAAACTTTTCTTTGAGATTGTTCCAGATGTCTTTTGAAATTGTACAACTTCTGACATAGTTGTACACAACTGGAGGCAACGCACCATGTAATTCTCTCATACATCTTTTCTCAAGCTTCTTCAGTGTATCAGATTGATCAGTAACACTTGAAGTTCCAGATGAAGATCCAATTGCTTGAACATTTGGTGGAGGAGTACCATTTCCAGTAATACATGACCAGAGCTCCTCATCTAGCCCGTTCAAGTAGTCTTGCATGCGATCAGCCCACTGATCATAGTATTCAAGAATGAGCATAGGAATCTTAGTTGAAGATCCTAGAAGATGAGAACAGGATGTCATTGAGTTCAAGTTGAAATTAGCCATGAACGTACTAATGAATTTTTTTTTTAGAAAAACTTAAGAGTTTTTGGAAACAAATAGCTGAAACGATCAGAGATTTCAAGCAGAGCACTCGATTCAACAAATCAATTGCAGAATCGAATCACAACTATAGATCAATAACGATTTTCAAAACAAAAGGCGCGGAAACTTTTGAATCCGTAATTTGATTCAAAAGCCTTTTGATACAGAATGAAAATCAGATTGCAGAGATATGATTCCTGCTCTGATACCAATTGACGAAGTATTGAATCAAGTAATGAAATCAAAATCAGAGTATCGAGAATTGAGAACACAGAATCTAAATAAGATCTTGTTTCAGCTCATATTAGGCTTCACAGTTACAGAGAGAAAATAGAAAAGAATAACTCCAAAAGAACTAATCTAACTCTAAGTAACATTCCCTATTTATAGGAAAACAGTAAAGCATAAAAAAATTACAAAGGACTAAACTTCACAGTTTCGACATATAATGCCTTTGCAAAATAACATTACATTTCGACACCTTACAATACAATTTCGACCCTTACACCAAGCTCATCATAGGCTTGTGACACACAGCTTTCAGTTCGTGGTGACACATAGCTCATATGGGGTAGCTTGCCAAAGCTGACCGGGATTAACAGCCAACGATTCAAGAATATGCCACGCAAAATGGCATCGCGCGGAAATGGATCGGGCTTAGCAGCCATCGATCACGAATATGTCACGCGGGATGGCAACGCGTGTAAATGGACCAGCAATGGTTGTGAACCTTCAAGCCTTGTTTGCGGTGCGCATCATGATGGTAGGGCTAGGTTGGGATGCCAAGTAGCTCAAGGAGAAGGTTATGTCTGAGCCTTGCAAGCGGAGCTTGCCGCTATAATGGAGTCGGGCTGAGAGACCAAGCGACTCAAGGCAAGGGTTATGAACCTTCTAAACATTTAGCAATATTAGGCTTAGCAGTCTTCAATTTAGGTGTCCACCCCAGGTGGGAGGTTCGTCCATAATGTAAAGGCACTCGATGTTTTGCTGCACCATTGGATGTAGCGACAATTGGTTCCTCGCTGTCTTGGGCATAATGATATTGTTTGCCGAGAGTTGAGGCTACTAAGAGCTAGACAACAAGGTTGTTGAGAGCTTGTGCAATGAGATTGTCAGGGGTTAGTCAACATGACTGCTGAGAGTTGAGGAGTGAGATTGTCAAGAACTTATCAGCGCGGATGTTGGGATTTAGGAAACACAACCGTTGAGGATTGGGCCGTGAAGCTGCTCCTTAATTTATAACACTAATGTCTTCTCAGGGATGCATAATTATATACAATTTTCCCTTTTTATTTAGTTCGGTTCTTTGCTTGCAATAGAGTCAACACTTCTGCATAGTGTTGCGTGGCTTGTTAACAGCTTGATGGTGTCCAGCAAAGCAATGTTTTGGCAGTTTTGCTTGGGTTGTTATGTATGTGTTGGCTTGTGCTTGCGTGTTTAAGCCTCGTTCATTTGTGCATGCCATTGTGAATAATGATAGCAAGTTATCTAGCTCTATACCATGTAAATAATAGTAAGATAAATACATTATTATGACAGGTAAAGTGTATACAAGTATATGTTTCGAAAATTGTTCACATCATGTACCTTTATGTAAACTTGTAAGGTGAAATATTTCTATATTGGGTAAAAATGTCTTAGTAGTGTCCAATCAGTAGCTAAGCACCAATGATAACAAAATTGTTTGATTAAACTGAAAGTTGTTTGATAGTTTAGTTATCAAAATGTGGTATCTTTGCATATGGGAATAAATGTTATGGTAAAAAGATTTTCTACTATGAGTAAAAGGCTAGTATTTATTGCATAAATACTTTAACTTCCTGAAGGTAAATGCACGCCACGATTGCCATGATAAAGTTTTGGTAAATATTTTTTGTTTACTAAATAAAGATAATATATAGATATATAAGGTATTGATTTACTTGAGAAAAGAGAGATAGGCAGACCTTGTATCCAAACTAGGTCGATGTGTGTCTCACGTCGGTTTTCATTTTGGGATTTTCCGTCGTGCTAAGGAGCGTAATGTCGCCATATAGCCCCTGAGGCTGTTATCAGACGCGGTTGTTGTGTCGAGCTCCAAATTCCATAGATAAATGCAACGTGTTTGGCATGTGGTTCCCGAGGTCCAGTCACGGTCGAAAGTTGTTCATAGAAACATTGTTGGAGGATAACCACACTTGCCTCGGCGATGTAGAAGAGATCCGCAGCCAGCGTCGGGTAGAGGATTATATTCTATGCCTGCTGGTGGAAACTTTGGGTGACTAGTCAGCAGTGCACACTTCACGAGTTCCTATACATGCTCTACGGACCGAGCTTTGCTCTGCGAGCCTGCCGTCAGCGCGTTATGAATGCCATGAAGTTGGAGCAGTTAAGATGACACACTCATGTTTGATAGTTTGGTATGTTTTCTTGAAATAATAAGTTGATTTGCGATTGCTTCGAAGCGTTTCGCGGGGTAGTAGCAGTAGTGTACTACCCTTCTCCCCGCCCCCGCCCCCCTTTGGAAAAAATAGAGGAGGTTGGATTGCAACGTATATTCTGAATACGTGTTTTGTTGGACGAAATTACAACACTTGTGCATACATATTTGATTTAATAGAAGCCTAAAAGTTAGCCATTTTGTGTTGTTTGAGCTAACCCATTAAAAATGTGATTTAATGGGAGCCCAAAAAACTGTTAGAGTCCAAAGGCTATTGAGCCCAAAATGGAATGGCTTAGCCCACTTGGAGGAATCCAAGTTTAAATGTTAACAAACCATTGATTATCAGCCCGCTTTTTTTGTTTTTATTTTTGTTTTTTTAAATGCCGAGCGATTCCAGACCGTAATACGTATTCTAAAAATGTATTTTGTTGAGTGGAGCTTGCGGAATGCGAGCGTAAAATTTTTGTATTTTATTTCGCGAGAGTATTCCATTAAAAATAGAATTTAATGGAAGCCCAAAAATTGTTGGAGTCCAAGAACTGTTGAGGTAACCCAATGAAAAATCAAATGTAGGTGAGACCCAGAATAATTATGGCAGCCCATTTGTGATAGAGAGGGAGCCCAAAATGAGATTCTTTGGGGTCTTATTCCCGAAATTAGGCCCAAAGAGGGGCCCGATGAGAAATTGTTGAAGTCTGGAAGCCAAAATTGAAATTTTCGAGTCCATTATCGTTCTTCGCTTTCTTTGTGACCTAATTGAAGCTGCCTCCCCTCGTTCTCACAACTCGTACCACAAACGAAAGATCACCAATAACCACAAGCGTTGGAGCAACGACTTTGCCGGCGGTGAGAGATTTTTGGGCAGTCAAAGTTGACGGCCAGGATCCGCTCATCGAGGATATTGATTGGTTGGGGATCGTCGCCTGCGCTGGTCTGTTAGGTGGCCGACGGTGCTCCGTGGTGAAGGAGAGAAGGACAAAGACATCTGAGGATATGTGGTGGACCGGTGGCGCTTTGGGTCGGGCCATTGGCAGCGAATCAAGAAGAACGGAGTCGGACGACGTTGTTTCATCGCAGATGGCAGCTACATCGAAGCTGTAAGAGGTAATTAGAAATGCTTCATTGGATCTGATTCATCGGACATTACCAGAGTTCATAGGTTACACAAGAGCTGGGTTTTTTTGTTTGATAGGTGGAGCTTTAGCTCCAGTTTACAACGAACGCTACTGTAGCTACCATCATCTAGCCGGAGGTGTCCGGTGATAACATCAGACCACAGTGTTGAAGATATTGTTGATGTTTCGATTAGGTCTCTGGTGGAACAGCTAGCGGCAAACGATGGTGATTTGCTAGGTCACCGTCAATGGCCAGCGACCGGAGATGGTCCAGCTATGGTTTCCGGTGGATGTTACCAGTTACGACTCAATCGTCCATGTGGTCACCTCGATGGCGTCGAAGAGAGACCCTGTGGGTCCCGCTGAAGATGCACCTTGAGGTGGGTCCTGCCTGTGGATCTTTTTTCTTTCTTGTCTTGTAGCTGGTATTGTGTAATATACTTGGTGGGACTAAGCTGTCTTTGTCTTTTTCGTTTTTGTTGTTGGCTCAAATGGAGCACTAGTACCGATACTACCGATACTTGTATCTTTTTATACAATCTATACAATTAGCTGTAGATGGTAGACTGTATGATATGTGGCCCTAGTGGGTCCTACTATTGGTCCTTTGTGTATGTCTTTTCTTGACAACTTTTGACCATTTGATTTATTGTGTACTATACATTGTACACTCTTTTTGTTTTTCTTTTTTTGTCATCTGATGATAGACAAATCTAATTGCGCCACTCTTGTATAATTTTTATGTACAACATTTGATTTGTAACTTGTAACTTTCAGATTCTTACTAGGCAACACATACCATTTCTTCTACCTTTTTATTTTCTATTTTACCAAGCAGTAAAATATGAATAGGTACGGTAAAATTTTGAATTCATTCTTTCAAAAATATCTGATGTATTTTGGTGAAAGAACAAATCATTTTGGGGCGACGTACAAACATCGAGCTGCTTTCTTTTCTTTGCTTTTGTCCATTGAGATGAGATAAACACATGCACTTCTTTTGTATTCTTAATAAGATTTGTACAACTTATGAGCTGTGAGTGGTAATTTTCAAGCGTGATAAATGAAATGGGTAGATATTTTTGTTTTTCTGAGTTATATAAAATGTACTAGCTTTGCAGCTGTATGTACACACAATAGCTCAAAGAATGGGGTTAGTTCATAGAAAATCACCAACTAAAAAGGATTTTTGTATATGATATGAACTAATAAGAGTTTAAGAACTCATAAAACTTTCGTTCTTCCCCATTTTTTCGAATAAATCACGAAAATAAACTAATAAAAGCGATAAAAAAATTCTTTTCTCCTCAACTTTCTAAACAAGTCACCAAAATATGGCGAAAATTGATTTGAAAGACTTTTGTTATGCCTGAAGAGCGTTTTGATGTGCTAAAAATGGATTTTGTTAGTCATATGAACTCAAAGTTGTGTAAAAACTGATGAAAACTTCTATTCTTCTCAAATTATTGAATAAAACACCAAAATAAGAACAAATAATGGGTAAAAACTTGTAGAAGCTTATTTTCTTCCCAACTTGTTGAACAACTCGCCAAGGCATGAACGAAAATGTATTTGAGAAGATCTTTTCCAGCTTGGACAATGTTCAGATGAGCAAGAAATGGAGCAGATCTAGAGATCTGAGGGAAGAGACGAAGCAGATCTGTTGGGACAAAGATCTGAATAGATCTTGGAGAGACAAACAGATCTGAACAAATAACGGTAGAAACGAACAGATCCGAGCAACCCGGAGGTGAAAACGCATCAGATCTGAACAAATCGGAGGTGAAACTGAGGCTGAGACCAAGAGACGACAGTTATTCGTTCTTGGTCCCACGGATGTCACCAATTGTTGTGATATGTCATCAGGCTGTCGGGTCTTCTAAGTTGGTTCCTGATCGGAAGTCTGGAGTTGGTGCCATCAACGGGATTCCGGCGATATACCTGAGCATACGTCACAACAAAGTCGTTAGCCTTGCCCAAGGGACTGTGCCCCGAGAGCAAGCTCCGACAATCAAGTTAATCTGGATGGAAGAGAAGAGATGGTTCTTCCTAGCCGGAAAGAATCATCTTGGTGTTGGCGATGACGTGTTTAGCCATGGCGGCTGGTTAAATGCTAGGAGATAAGGGAGAAGTCCCTTAGGGTTTTCTATCAGGATAGAGAAGATCCCTTAAAAATGTGGGGGGGGGGGGCATGTTCTATTTATAGGGGACCCTTAGCTCAGAAGGGATATTATGTATTTTCCTCTTGGAATTAGGTCAAAAGGAGATTAAGTCAGGCCTTGGGCCCATCCAGTTTAGGCCCAACTAGCAAGGAGCTGGACCAGGCCTCTAGGGGTCGTCAAGAGAGCGCCCTGAGGTCGTCAGGCGAGCGCCCGGAGGTCGGGAGGTGAGCGCCAGGAACGGGCGCTAGACAAGGCCAACAGGAGAGCACCTGGCAAGGCTGGCAGGAGAGCGCCAAGAAAGCCTGGCACGCCAAGTCTTTACGTCTGGACCATGCTAGTGGACCATAACAACACCCATAATCAATCTGCTCCAGATTAACAATTTTTGCTTAATTATATGATTTTTTTATTTACTGAAATACATTGGTTTCCATTTCAAGTAGAGAGATGGAAGTTGTTTTGATTTTGAGAGTGGTGGAATAGTTATGACAAGATACCCAAAGCCAAGGCTCAGACGGCCTCCTGATCTTCAAGATAGATTTGTTAATTCTGTTACTAAACTTGGTGGTCCTGATAGTAGTAAGCTCTCTGTTTTCAAAATCTTTGATAATAATTATGTTTTAATATTTTTTGTTTTTGATAATAAAAACCGATTAAACAGGTTTTTTTAGTGTTTAAAATTTATGGGTTATTCGAATTTATTAAGCTAAATGGCTCAATTTTGAGTATCCGATTGATCAAAGTTTTATGTTTCTTGAATTTGACTAATTTTGATGAAAATTTTAATTTGTATCAGAAGTCTCCTAATGCTCAGATTCCAAGATTGTTGAAACAATTGAAAAGTTTTGATCAATATGGACAATTTTCCTAAAACATCTTCATAGGATCAAGATTTTTTATATCCATAATCAACCTAACAAATCAAATGAATTCTAGGTTAAAGTTTGTTGTGAATGGAAATCAGAAAATTTTAAGACATTTAAAGTGTTTTTTATTTAAATATTTTATAAAAAAATCTTAATAAATCAAAACCAATAGTTTTTGAATCATACACAAAAAGCCCTTTATTGTGACTTTTAACTTCAATTTTGATTTGACTTATTTGGCCCTTCAGCCTATTGGTAAAGATGCATGATACCTAACCATTTGGTGTGGATCATGTAAAACATACAGACAATTCATCAGTCACTTTCATGGACAACAACAACATACATCACACTTGATGCTGGTGGAGGAATCAAATACATTGATGATCATAGAAAGGTAGGAAATTGATGATCACAAACCATGTAAAGGTGAAACACATGAACACCACTCTTTTGCATCGTCTCTATGTTTTCTATTTCACTGTAGGCAACATTAACATCTTCTTTTGAATGTCTATCTCACTATAAGCAATCTTTGTGTTGTCTTGTGAATACCAACCATGCCAGTTGCTATCACAACCCTCTCCCCATGGGAAGCATGGGTATCCTTCTAGTTTAGATTAGAATTTTGTAATATATGAAAAGAAAGACAATTGTTTGTTTGTATTTTCAAAGTTTGAAAATGTATTTAATGAAAATAACAAAGCAGAGGCTAAGGCAACCATGGTAGGAATTCGAAAAATAGAAACATAGTCGTAGGATAGATTTTCTATTAGACTACCCGTTATATCTACCACTAACCACTATAGTGGTGGGTGACATATCATCACCACACACAACCACTAAAAGGTTGGTATACACACCACTATAACCTTCTTATTATATATATATATATATATATATATATATATATATATATATATATATATATATATATATATATATGTAGAGAGAGGTAGAGAAACTTAGAAAGAGATATAGTTGGATAGAGAGAGAAAGAAACCTATTGGGTGTGGTCTTCTGTGATCTACACCACAATACACCACGACCACTAGCCACCACTAAACACCGGGATGGTGTGCACTATAGTGGTCCGTGGTCACGTAGACCACGAATGCATTCGTTGTAAGTACACCCGATGGACTTAAAGATTTCAACATTTCATCGGATTTCAACATTATATCAAATTTCAATGTTTCAACATAATGTTTTAAACCTTAACTTTAACAAATTTATATATAAATTTAAATGGTATAATTTATTCCAACATTTTAGGGTTTTTTTTACAAAAAATGGAGAAAAAAACTCTAATCGGCTAAAATAGTGAGGTTAGGTGGTTGCAACGTGAGCATATTTAGTGGAAATAGGAAAAATATCTAGGGCTAACCTAGCTAAAGGGCTAAGTAAAAGATCAATAAATCCATTAGACTAATATCACCCATCAAACTCATAATACGACAACAATAAGCATTAAAAGCTTTCCAAACAAAAAAATGAAAATGAGAAGCAGGCACTGCCTTTGTAAACATATCAACAATATGCAAGGTTAATGGAACATTTGGCAGAAAGATAGTCTCATGCTGAAAGTATGACAATTAAAGTGATAACTACTCTTGATATGTTTCGTTTGCTCATGGAAAACTGAATTCCTAGCAATCATAATTGTGTTGTTATTGTCACAATGTAAGGGATAGGATGAAAAATGTGAACATCCATGTTTGCAAGAAGCCAACGTAGCCAAACAATCTCATAAGTGGTAACAACCATAGCTCAATATCCAACGTCTGTTAAAGATGGAGAGACAATATCTTGTTTCTTATTCTTCCATGAAAACAATGCATCTCCAAGAAAGACACAAAAGACAGTGGTGGATTTGCAATCACGAGGATGTTGGATTAAGTGTGTAAGGTCTTAACTAAATTGGTATAATCTTAATGAATAAAAGTAAAGTCATTTTTGGGTTGCCCTCATAACTAGGAAATGGCTTGGATTGATAATAAGAAAGAGATTGTAACAACCCAAATTTCCAATAAAATTTTTCATTTTTAAGTAACGAAATCATTTCCATAAAATATAAAATTCCAATCACATTTGTTTTCAAAATCTATAACATCAAACATTTTATTCATAATATCATAGTGTTCCCAATAAAACGCCAGAGAGCGCATGTCGTGCCATCACGTCGGGTTCTTGCCCTTAGATCCTGAAGTACCTAAAACAACCAACAAACCGTAAGCTAACACTTAGTGATTTCCCCATAACATACCCCACACAACCCGCATAATCATATAACCATATCAACCATACAAGCTATGCATACAAACATATACGAATGTCG